GTGGAAGAATTGGGTATATATATATATATTTTTTTGACAAACGATATATAATCAAGAACGATTTAACTCGAAACGATGTAACTCAAGTTATATCTGTATGTGGATGATCAGACACAGATCTTCAGGCAGAGTGTTTGATTGTGCTTTTGTACCACTATTAACCTTCTGTGAGTCGCATGGGTCTGACAGACCCGACGCGATTTTTAGTCAAAATTTTTTAATATTAAATATTTTTTGAAAAATTTAAAAAAATTAATATTCCTCAAACTTTTTAACCAGATTAACATGCTGTTAAAATTTTTTGCATAGCAACGGTCATTTTTTAGAAAAAAAAATACTTCATGAGTTGCATGGGTATGACAGACCCATGCGACTCACGGAGGGGGTAAAAAAACGTCAATTAATTAGTCGCCATTGTTGATAGCGAGTGTCGCAATAACTATCGCGTTCAAGTTGTCGCGCGGTGTCTATTATACCTTATAATATCGTTATTTATTTATATATTTATATTTTTGTTTTTTGTTGTTATAATATTGTTTTCAAAAGTAATGTCTAATTAATTTTTAATTATTTTAATTATTATTTTATTTTTATCATATAATTTTTATTTATTACTTATGATGATTCCTCGTATATTAGACGATGCAAGTTGGCATTTTTTTACATTTACTAACCAATGGGCGACTTGTGAAAACAGTCTAGCTATAAATTGCCGGGAAATATTTCCCCCTTTCGGCAATGATCTTGGAAATCAAATGTAAACAATCGCTATAAATTCGCTTGTTTTATTCGCGTTTTGAGCTATAAATTGTTAATTAAATATTGTTTCACAATGTATATACGAGTAAGCATGTTCTCAAAACTGTCTAGCAATAAATATTCCCGGGAAACTCCAACTCTCTATAGTAAGTCTATGGAACATGTTATTGCTGTTAATTGGCTTTAAAATTTTTGTTTCTACGCCTATTNTATTTTTTATTTTTTAATTTAATTAAAAATATTAGCACATCGTAAATGTATTACTACTGGTTTATATATTTATCACAATAATTTATATTATTGTTCAAAATAAAATGAATAAAGAATATTAGTTCGTAATATTCATCGATAGCAAAATAAAGGTTAGATTCCAAACAAAGGATATATTATAATCTGTGATAATTTTAAAACTAAAAATCATACATTCATAAATGTTATATAGAATTGTACAGAACAATATTTCAAGTCATTCTGGCTTAGTGCCAAGAACAAACTACTTAACCGGAGTATGCGAATTTTAAAAAATGTTGCAAATTTTCACAGACAGAAGATGTCAGGTCTGATATATTTTAATTTTTTTTATTGAAGTTTATATTTAAATGTATTTAAAAATATCGTATTTATAACTACAGATATTAATAAATGTAATGTAATTTTTGTCATATGAATATAACGATAAATTGATTTTTGGTGAATTTTTAAAGTAATATAACATGTCTGACCTTGTCTGACCTATACTGCCCTTGGCCTATTTACACAATGAACGTAAACAGGGGGCAGGGCAAACGGTAATGTAAGGGTTAAAAGTTTACTCATCCCATGTTCAACTTTATTAAAACATTCAGTATTTGGATCTATAGCCTCAAGTTCCAACATAGCCGCATTAATTTTGGAGAACACACCAGCTAACTCATGTACCATTAAATCCTCATTTGTTAGCTCTCCATCAGCATAATACTCTAATTCAGCAATGTCTTCCACTTCAACATCTAAATTAAACACATTGGCAAGGCCCACAATTGTCTGAATTACATCAGTTTGTTCAAGATTGTCAAACGATTTGACATTGTTTGCGAAACTTAGTTTCTCAAACAATCTCTGCCTAAACTGTTGAAACCATCCTTGGCTTGCTGAAAATGATTCTGTTGATTTTTTGCCTTCAAAGTCTCAAAGATACTGTGTGCCTTAGCTTGAATTATTAAAAGGCTTATTGTCATATTATTTTGCATCTGGTTGTCAAACCAGATCACCAATAATTTCTCCATCTCATGAATAAGACCTTTTTGCTGCCTAGTTATTATGGCTTTAAGTCCTTATTATGGCTTTAAGATGATTTCACCATCTCTTTCACTCTAACTTTATCCTTTACAATCATTGAAATTGTCGAATGTGTCGTAAGTAATAAAACCTTACATATTTCTGTTCTGTAATTATGCCAGAACTGCCATTCCAAAATTATGATATCTTTAGTTTAAGTGTCATGTTTCCAATGCAACTTCAGAAGTGTGAGTTATGTGAAGGTTTTATTTTCATTCTAGCAATTTATGAGGGGTTATATGCTGATGTGAGTTATATATGGATTATTCAGAGAAAATTACAGTAATTATTAAAAAAAATTAATATATTAGTATAGTATTGTTACTGAATATTTAATTACCACATTAAGAAGCATGTTTTCGTCTTCTGAAGGATCAGTGGCAAGAATGGCTAAACCTTCTCTGACCAATGCATCATTTATGTGTAAATCATCCTTGTCTGACACATCACAAAGGCAAAGGGAAATTCTTTCCTTATACTATTAAAAATAATTTCCAATTACTTATATATAAATCAATAAAAAAATATTCACTTAATAAAATTTTCAAATACTTACTTTTTTGTTTGTAACCAAGGCTGCTAATGGTTTATCACGACACAATGCAAGAAGAATGCTTTTGGATTTTTCACACCACCGTCTCTGAAAAATACATATTTTCAAGTCAATTCAAATATAAGTTTTAGAGACCATTTCCTTTCAATTGGAAAAAATCATTAATTAGCTAAATCTATAAATAAATTAAAATAGATAAAATATATTTATTTCTGTTCAGCTACTTGTGTATTAAACCAAGAATAAATTTTCAAAATTAACTAAGTCTGATGTAGTTTTATTATGGAATAGTACTGGTACTACCAGACCGCAATTCACGAATGCCAGATTTGAAAAGATTTTCAAGTCTTGCATTGATAAACTAGAATGAAAATGTAGTGTTATTATGATTTGTAGCTTTGCACTTATTGTCACACTGCCAGGTTGCAACTTTTAGTCATATTCTTAATTTATTTAATTTAAAATATAGGCCTACATTCTCGATATCAAATTAGTAGTGTGTTGCCTCTATATATCATATTTTTCCTGATAACTACAGAATCATGCTGGTCATCTATCTAACTTCATTCAGGGGAAAATTTTTTGAATTGAAATCACACAACTTTTGCTTTAGATTGGAAGTTTGTATACAGTTAATTGGGGCTTCCTACCCGTAAGCTTTCTGTATCTGTCTTGACTTTCATCAAACTAACACCATTCTAGAGATTAGGGAAGGTCAAATGGACAGACGACAGTGGAAATTTATGTCTACAAGTTTTTGATGAAACTATGTTTTGTCTATAAAATCGCACTGCTGTCAGCACCTAAGAGGTATGAAGGAGTACATGTCAGGAGTTACAATTTGGCACAAAGTATTTGGTGCCCAAACCATGCACACACAAAAAAAAAACAAGACTTGTAGGTAGTCAGGGGACCAAGAACAAGGCCAAAATAAAATGCAAAATGGCGACACTGTTTCTACAAATAAGCGTAAGTGCGAGATTTGCGCATGCATTGCTCGTCAACTGAAACAATAAACAAATGCAAACGCAATGTAGAACTATCTGTCACCCTCAGATGGAACTTACAAACAGGTGGCAACTGGCACGTGGCTCAATGCATGTGTTAGGAAGTTCCAAATGTCAATGTTGCAAAAACGAATTTTAACAAACATTACACGTATATTCTCTTGCTCTCATTGTTTTGATTTTCTTGTGTGTTGCTAACATCTCATTCGGATCCATTTGACCCATTAATTTCACTGTAATCCACGCCAGGACTATACAATATCTTTTCCTTAGAAAACAGTATGCAGTCAAGCCCTGAGTCTCCAAGACATAGTCTTGTCCCAAAAAGGGCTTTGCCATTTTACTTGTTCAAACTGCAACCCAAGAAAACCAAAATGTAGACATATAATTTTGCAAAATAACTTTGTAATTAATAAGTTAGTAATTTTTAAAAAATAAGTAGATCAAATCGAATACAATCAAAACATATTACATCAAATTTTATTCCTAGTTCTCTGAATTTTTTCTATACAGTGCCTATATCTATAACTACTGGAAAACAAAAGAACACCTCTGTGAAGAAAATGAATGAAAAATATCATATTTGCACAGTGCTACTAGAGAGCAGCACTGTGGAAGAATCAGGAATTGAGTATTGTCTGTCAAGTATCTAAGAAGTATCAGCAGTTGGGCACCTGTAGAGAGAGTAGCCTGTAGTTTTCAGCACAGTTTGGTGCTGAAAACTACTACTTTGGCATGCACTCTTTGCACAAAATGGAATTTGAGTGAGGCAATATAGTTTCTGTGAGGCCAGAAGATCATACCAGAAAATTTGCAACACATTGGATGATAAGTGTCATAAGTGCACCAAAGTTGGTGCCATTGGGCAGAGGAAGATGCATATGTCCGTCAGTCTGGTTCTGGACAACAGTGATACATAGTTGCACTGTGGCCACTCATACATTACACTGTATGAGTGGCCACAGTAAACCACACTGCAATCTTAGAACAGATTAGAGGTAGTGTTGCACCAGGGTGACAGCTAGGACCATCTGCAACCATCTTGTTGAAGCTGGACAATGATCACGATTCAAAGTTAAACTCATGTCTCACCACTGTGTAGCCCACCTCCAGTGGTGTCAGAAAGGACTGCCTGCAGGGATGGATAGCAAATTGCTGTATTCAGTAACAAGAGCAATTCTGTCTTGTTGCTAATAATGATCATTTGCATGTGCAGCACCAACCAGGTGAATGACACTTTCCAGTGTATACAGCAACAATACACAGGGTCAAAACACAAAATCAGTGGCGAGCCATAGCCAACAATGTCCATTTACCTCTGGTGTTTGCACATGGAACATTGACCAATGCATGGTACCAGTATATCTAGATCATCATTCAATTTGTTCTTCTGCCATTTGTGCAACAAGATGATGTGCTATTTCAACAAGACAATATCCATCCATATATTGCTCATGTAGCCCAATGCATTCTTTAAGGTGTTTGTCAAAACCCCCAGCCAGCATGACCACCAGATTGTCCCATATTGAGCATATCATCTAACCCAGTGGTTCTCAACTTTTTTTGTTGATGTACCCCATTAGCCCATTAGTTGTTTTGTGAGTACCCCTTATATTTTTTCATAAATTTTATAATTACTGCATTAGATGTATACAGCTCTTATAACTGAGAGCCATAAAAAACTCTAACTATAACTAAAAGTGGATTACTTATTTTACGTAAATAATAAATTTAAACAGGTACATACATTTATTTATTATTATTTGATAAGTATATTATATAATATCACAAGTCATTTCAATACGTGCATAAATTACATTTCCTAAAAATAAATAATTATAATTAATGATAAACAAAATTTAAATTATTCTACAATAATTTCTAACAATTTAATGAAATATTTGTTGCAATAAATCTTCGGCAATTTTTTTCAAAATTTTGTTCCCACCTTATTAACTGACAACGAATGTCTGCTGATGTGTCAAACCTGTTTTTTTTTTTTTTGTCACAAATACATCGTTTAAATGGTAAAAGTTTTCTTTAGACCTTTTAAATTGGACCTTGCATAGCTTTAGCTCCATCAGTGCAGATGTCGATGCACTTTTTTCAATCTATTTCATTACTTCGAATGAAAACATTGATTTTATTGAAAATATCAAAACCCGTAGTTGTATGTTTTAGGCCGTCGCATATTAACAAATCTTCGCAAAGCTCATCGTTGTACTGATATTTCACAAAACCTAAAAGTACTGCCAATCCGCTGACATCTATTTTAAAATTAATGCTTGGTTAAATCGAAATTTTACTAGACTACACTCAGCACTAACGGTAAATTGAGCGGATAAACAAGTTGTTTGGACTGTTAAAAGGGAAAGCGGTGTTCATACTGGGATATTTTAAAGCAAGTTTTTGTTTTTTCTTGTGTTATTAATTTACAGCAAATTCATTAACATGCACCATTTTATAATGAAAGTTAGATGTACCCCTTCTATTTATGCTTGTACCCCTAGGGGTACATGTACCCCCAGTTGAGAACCACTGATCTAACCCAGTCTTCAACAGTGGCAACAACCCTTGTCGAAATGTGCCATCAGGTGGAATGTGCATGGACTTCCATTCCACAAAGTGATATTCATCACCTCTGAACATTTCCACATGTGAATTGTGGCCTATATTGCTGCTAGAGGAGAGTACATGGAGTACTGAAAGTCTTTTGACATGCCCTGCAGAATCTATACACAAGCATATGCCTCGTATGAATGATTGTGTACAATATACTATCTATAGTGTGTGTAAATAAAATATCCATTTCCTGGGATCCATGGCTTTATCGTGTTCTTTTCTTAACTTTCCTACAGTGTATTATTATATTGGTGTAATCATTCAATATATGATAACTAACAAACAGTAAACATACAGATAATATACTATGTATCTTAATATTAAAACCCTGCATAAAATTTTCCAGTATTATTATTCAATACAGTGCATATGAATAACAAAATACTCTAATCACAAAAAAAAAAGTTTAAATAAATATTAGTACACCTAGATGAATCTTTTATTATTTTTAAATCACCTTAATTTTAATATTTAATAAACTACTTTAATAAATTAAACATTCTAAAACACAAACACAATTATTTGTATTATTATAAATATGTTTTACAAAGTTTATTATTAAACCCAATGAGTCATTATCCATCTCCAAATGTAGTTAAACGCTTAACAGAACCATGGTTTATCATCATATTTTAAACTTTACAAAATTTCACTTACTCCATTTGATGGTTTAATATTAGCTAATCGTCCTTTGATTGCTTGGATTGGAAGAATCATAAATTCCTTCCTATTAAAAAAAAAAAATTATTTTAGAAAGAACTTTCCAAGCAGTCTAGAAGCAAATTTTACAACTCCATTTTAGTTTTAATAAAACTTATGTACTGGTTTTGCTTTTAGGCAGCCACATTCCAACTTAAATTAAAGGTAAATGAATTTCAAGCATTCTTTGCCTTCTCAGAGGACAAAGAATGAAAGTCTAACTATTTTATTTAGTAGTTATAATTCAAACATTAAATTAAATCATTTAAATATAATTAGTTAATTATATTTAGTCATTAAAATACAATTATTATTATACTTTTATAAAGCAAAAACAGATATTACTTTATTTAAAAAAAAAGAAAAACTAAGAAACTTACTTTAAAAATCTTAAATGAGTTCTTAAAATTGTACACTTAGTACCATAATCAACATACAGGACCTAAAAAGTAAATATATTTAATTTATTTGAAAACAAAATTTGAAAGATATTTACTGTCAATGACAACAATAGATTTCTTGAAATACAATAATACCCCAAACTTACGCGATAGGTGGGACCAAGCAACAACCACGTAAGTCGAATTTGCGTAAGTCGGGGTATAATTTCCCAATTTGTGTAAAATCCAAGACGGATGTATGTAAGCTAATAAATGTTCTTGTTAATCTTATCTTGTCTTTTGATTCGTTCACGATTACAAGAAATCACAACATAGAGTCTTTCAAGTCTCCGTAGACATTACAAACACAGAAATAAATAACACAAAATAAATTGTAGCTATGTGTCGATTCCGCGCGACATGTCCAAACATGCAAGCTGAACAATAGTGTAGGGGGAGTGAGTAATCAAGAGCTGTGTGGCACTCAAACAAGAGACAAATTGACGAGATTTGAAAATCACGTAACTCTGGGTTCGCGTAAGTCGGGGTAGTGTAAGTCAAGGTATTACTGTACAAGAAAGAAAGATTTAAATATTTTGATATCACAGATACATTCAATCATTTTTTAATAATAACTTTTACATGTAAATTCAATAATATATTTAAATTACCTGGTTCAAAGAAATTTTGTTATCTATATACTTAATAGTAAACAAATTCATTATATTTTCACATACTTATCACTGATCAAATCAAATGCTATAGGTAGAATTTCATCATCTTAGCTTGCTATTAAATTATAGTCTTTGCAACATAGCAAGGATATATCTGATGCACATATATCAAAAATTGGGTAAACAAAATTAAGGATGATGAGGAAACTTTTCACAAACTAAACTAAAATTTTCTCTCATTTTATGAATTTCATGAAGAAATCAATATTAATTTTAGAAAAAAAAAAATGTAATCATTAAACTTCATGATGTTATGAGCAATTTATAAAAGAATTTAGAGTTCCATCTTAACCACTCAGTCACTGCTGGGCACAGATATTAACGAGGACCAATCTTATGATGAAATAAACAATGTTAAAGAAATTTTTAACAAAATTTGTGTCAACAGAGACTACACAAATAATGGATAGACATTTTTCCGGCATCATTCTCCGGTGACACATGATCGCCCTTGACGGGTATATCCGTTGATCACTGCAGAGTGGTTAAATCTTGTTAATAAGACTGAAAATTAAGCCTCTTAACATAGATTAAAAAAAAAAATTGAATATTTTTCAAGTATAAAAATTATTAATGATTTTTCACTTAATCATGTTACCAATTGCATTAACAATTATTAAAAACCATTATTACATTTTCAAAAATTCAATACTTATCACAATCATACTATAATTCTTAATTACTTTTAATTTTTTATAAAATAATTATATCAGATAATGTATATAATATTTTTATTTATTTTATTTTATTTTTACAAAATTAAGAACTGCCAGTTGGCATAAGACCCCAACAGTGAACCAAAAAATAAAGAAAAAGAAAAAAAACATGATTTATGTACTGTAATAACACAGTTATGTTAATTAATTAATGAATAAAAATTTAAAAATTTATAATAAAAATATAGCAAATATAATAATATTTTATTTTATTTTATATAAAAAAAAGTATATAACTTAATCTTCAAAATTTAATAAAATATACTACATACTAACCTCGACAGAATCCTTGGATGGAATGCCAGTTATAATACCTCGATGCCAATTATCATCTGTCCATAATGCAGCACAGATATGATCAATTCCTACAAAGGTATCAGGCATTTTGTATCTGTTGCTATTCTTACCATTATAGAAATGTCTGTATAAACCAAGAAAACTTTTAATATAAACTTAAATTGTTATATAAAATTATTTTGAATAATAATTATAAATTGATAATAGAGTAGAACCCTCATTAGCCAAGGCAAAGCTGTAAGTGATGTGCTGCTTTTCTTATAATTCATGAAATTTAAAATTTGTTTCTGCTATCTTTTATCATTTGATTTCAATGTGAGACAAATTGTTCATATGAAAATGTAACTACAATAGTAGCTATTTTTATTCTTAAAACTGTTGCATATATTAGATGTATTATAAATGATGTAAAAAATGTTCTACATGATTAAATTCACCAAAGTATGAAAAAAGGATTAAAAGTGCTACCATGTAAATCTTTTTTATTTGTAATCTTTATTCTGAAATACTGAAGCTGCCATTTTATCCTAGTTTTCAGTTATCCGAGTAGCACTGGTCCACATTACCTTGGCTAATTGAGATTCTATAGTATTTGAACTAAAGATTAACAATAATATAAAGGATTTCTATTTATAATATGGCTCATTCTTATTTTAAAAAATTATTTTATACAAACAACAATAACAATTAACAAAAACATGTTTCAATAATTATAATAATGCAATCTGTTCCACGTTTAAAACAATGCCAACATTGTTTTAAATGTGGCATTGATATTTTATGTCCATGTACATAAAACAGTTCTGTCAACTGTAAATGGAAAATTGTATATGGGAGATGTATTAGAAAATTATAAAAATATATTTAAACTGTTATATCATAATCTATTTGATGAATAAAATTGCAAATATACATTGCAATAACCTCAGAAATATAAAAAAAAACAAGTTCTAAAATTCTCAATGCCACTAGAACAATGATAACCAATTTTAAAAGTTTCTTTGAATAATAGAGAGAGAATTTAAAAATTGTAGAATTAAGCAAATCTGAAGATTGAAATGCCTGGTTAAACTATGGCAGCAGAATGATACACATTAAGTCCATTCTAAATGTGAGATAACTTTAAAGGTAAAATAAGATATATTAATCATTACAAGAAATTTTCTTGTAGTGAATAATTTCAAGATATTTATTTATGCTTCACTAATAATAAAATTTATTCAGATAGCATTCTATTTCATTTGGACTCAATTCTGAATAATAGTTGAAAATTTTTTGTTTACATTCATCAATGGTTAATTAATGGAATTTTATATGAAGTAGAGCTCATTGAATTACTCACCAACTAGTTATGATATTACAGTCAGCTTGCCTTAATACAAATTGCTAGGGAAACTAGTTATTTCACTTTATTGAAAATTCATATCAATGATTTCAGGGCCAAGGACAAGCTTATAATTTAGAGTTAAGGATTAACAGATAATCAAAATCTCTAAATTTTAACATTTTGAATTAATTTACTAAATAAGGTGTAATAAAATAAAATTTATTTACAAAAATAATATTAATGAAATAAACGATTTTCAAATCAAACAAATGATGAGGAACCTGTATTCACGATGTTTAAGTGAAGTCATATATCAGAGTGGTTAAACAACAAAGCTAAATGAAAATCCATGATTTTTTTTCTGTTGAAGATTGTTTGAAAAAAGTAGAAATTATTTTCTGACACCAAGAGTAAAAAAGGAGCCAAACTTCACACAAAGTAGCCAAACCTGGAATCACATATGATTCCCCAAAATGCAAACTAGAATGTGCTTGCATGGGATAACCCATTTAAAGAGGTGGGAATCTTTAAACTTCAACTCTTATTTCTGAGTACAGTAGAATGGTTTGCTGAAACCAATGTTTGAATTGCTCTATAATTGGAGGTTGAACCAGTCTTTGCTTACTAAGAGAAGAAAATCAGAATATTATACAGGATTAGCAAGAAATTAGTTTTCTGCTTCTGTTTCATTTCGTGTGCATTCTACTGCACATGAAATGAAACAAAATTTATACTACAGATAATTCAATTGATGCACTTGACATTTAAATAAAAAAATAATACAAAAATCCGCTGATAAGTGGCACTGTAACACAGAAATAGTGAATATGCATGCAAATACAAATGTTGAATATGTAGCATTAAAAGTGCTCAATATGTCCTCCATTTTGAACAATGTGCTCTGATTGAAAACTATATTTTCCACAGCTGAATGCAATGAGGCTGCCAGAATATCCAGAACATGGTGCCAAATGTGGTCCTTCAGATCTAGCACAGATGCAGGTCTTCTATGGTAGACACTGTCCTTCAGGAAACCCCATAACAAAAATTCTTCAATATTTCTGTTACAACACCATCTATCTACAGATTTTTGTACTTTCTTTTTTATTTAAGAAATGTCAAGAGCATCAGTTGAATTATCTGTAGTATAAATTTTCTCATTTCGTGCAGTAGAACACACTCCAGAGTTCTCTGAAGTGGAAACTTATTTCTTGCTAACCCTGTACTCAAAAAACATTTATTATAGTACCATTTTGTTTTTTATACTTTTTGATGTGAATAATAAAATCATTTTTGTTTCTTTGCAGACACACTAAGGTGACATATATCAACACTTGGCAACTTATTGACTATTTATTCAGTTGGGACGCCTTTTACATTACGCGTTTCNTATTTCATTATTTCGAATGAAAACATTGATTTTATTGAAAATATCAAAACCCGTAGTTGTATGTTTTAGGCCGTCGCATATTAACAAATCTTCGCAAAGCTCATCGTTGTACTGATATTTCACAAAACCTAAAAGTACTGCCAATCCGCTGACATCTATTTTAAAATTAATGCTTGGTTAAATCGAAATTTTACTAGACTACACTCAGCACTAACGGTAAATTGAGCGGATAAACAAGTTGTTTGGACTGTTAAAAGGGAAAGCGGTGTTCATACTGGGATATTTTAAAGCAAGTTTTTGTTTTTTCTTGTGTTATTAATTTACAGCAAATTCATTAACATGCACCATTTTATAATGAAAGTTAGATGTACCCCTTCTATTTATGCTTGTACCCCTAGGGGTACATGTACCCCCAGTTGAGAACCACTGATCTAACCCAGTCTTCAACAGTGGCAACAACCCTTGTCGAAATGTGCCATCAGGTGGAATGTGCATGGACTTCCATTCCACAAAGTGATATTCATCACCTCTGAACATTTCCACATGTGAGTTGTGGCCTATATTGCTGCTAGAGGAGAGTACATGGAGTACTGAAAGTCTTTTGACATGCCCTGCAGAATCTATACACAAGCATATGCCTCGTATGAATGATTGTGTACAATATACTATCTATAGTGTGTGTAAATAAAATATCCATTTCCTGGGATCCATGGCTTTATCGTGTTCTTTTCTTAACTTTCCTACAGTGTATTATTATATTGGTGTAATCATTCAATATATGATAACTAACAAACAGTAAACATACAGATAATATACTATGTATCTTAATATTAAAACCCTGCATAAAATTTTCCAGTATTATTATTCAATACAGTGCATATGAATAACAAAATACTCTAATCACAAAAAAAAAAGTTTAAATAAATATTAGTACACCTAGATGAATCTTTTATTATTTTTAAATCACCTTAATTTTAATATTTAATAAACTACTTTAATAAATTAAACATTCTAAAACACAAACACAATTATTTGTATTATTATAAATATGTTTTACAAAGTTTATTATTAAACCCAATGAGTCATTATCCATCTCCAAATGTAGTTAAACGCTTAACAGAACCATGGTTTATCATCATATTTTAAACTTTACAAAATTTCACTTACTCCATTTGATGGTTTAATATTAGCTAATCGTCCTTTGATTGCTTGGATTGGAAGAATCATAAATTCCTTCCTATTAAAAAAAAAAAATTATTTTAGAAAGAACTTTCCAAGCAGTCTAGAAGCAAATTTTACAACTCCATTTTAGTTTTAATAAAACTTATGTACTGGTTTTGCTTTTAGGCAGCCACATTCCAACTTAAATTAAAGGTAAATGAATTTCAAGCATTCTTTGCCTTCTCAGAGGACAAAGAATGAAAGTCTAACTATTTTATTTAGTAGTTATAATTCAAACATTAAATTAAATCATTTAAATATAATTAGTTAATTATATTTAGTCATTAAAATACAATTATTATTATACTTTTATAAAGCAAAAACAGATATTACTTTATTTAAAAAAAAAGAAAAACTAAGAAACTTACTTTAAAAATCTTAAATGAGTTCTTAAAATTGTACACTTAGTACCATAATCAACATACAGGACCTAAAAAGTAAATATATTTAATTTATTTGAAAACAAAATTTGAAAGATATTTACTGTCAATGACAACAATAGATTTCTTGAAATACAATAATACCCCAAACTTACGCGATAGGTGGGACCAAGCAACAACCACGTAAGTCGAATTTGCGTAAGTCGGGGTATAATTTCCCAATTTGTGTAAAATCCAAGACGGATGTATGTAAGCTAATAAATGTTCTTGTTAATCTTATCTTGTCTTTTGATTCGTTCACGATTACAAGAAATCACAACATAGAGTCTTTCAAGTCTCCGTAGACATTACAAACACAGAAATAAATAACACAAAATAAATTGTAGCTATGTGTCGATTCCGCGCGACATGTCCAAACATGCAAGCTGAACAATAGTGTAGGGGTGTGAGTAATCAAGAGCTGTGTGGCACTCAAACAAGAGACAAATTGACGAGATTTGAAAATCACGTAACTCTGGGTTCGCGTAAGTCGGGGTAGTGTAAGTCAAGGTATTACTGTACAAGAAAGAAAGATTTAAATATTTTGATATCACAGATACATTCAATCATTTTTTAATAATAACTTTTACATGTAAATTCAATAATATATTTAAATTACCTGGTTCAAAGAAATTTTGTTATCTATATACTTAATAGTAAACAAATTCATTATATTTTCACATACTTATCACTGATCAAATCAAATGCTATAGGTAGAATTTCATCATCTTAGCTTGCTATTAAATTATAGTCTTTGCAACATAGCAAGGATATATCTGATGCACATATATCAAAAATTGGGTAAACAAAATTAAGGATGATGAGGAAACTTTTCACAAACTAAACTAAAATTTTCTCTCATTTTATGAATTTCATGAAGAAATCAATATTAATTTTAGAAAAAAAAAAATGTAATCATTAAACTTCATGATGTTATGAGCAATTTATAAAAGAATTTAGAGTTCCATCTTAACCACTCAGTCACTGCTGGGCACAGATATTAACGAGGACCAATCTTATGATGAAATAAACAATGTTAAAGAAATTTTTAACAAAATTTGTGTCAACAGAGACTACACAAATAATGGATAGACATTTTTCCGGCATCATTCTCCGGTGACACATGATCGCCCTTGACGGGTATATCCGTTGATCACTGCAGAGTGGTTAAATCTTGTTAATAAGACTGAAAATTAAGCCTCTTAACATAGATTAAAAAAAAAAATTGAATATTTTTCAAGTATAAAAATTATTAATGATTTTTCACTTAATCATGTTACCAATTGCATTAACAATTATTAAAAACCATTATTACATTTTCAAAAATTCAATACTTATCACAATCATACTATAATTCTTAATTACTTTTAATTTTTTATAAAATAATTATATCAGATAATGTATATAATATTTTTATTTATTTTATTTTATTTTTACAAAATTAAGAACTGCCAGTTGGCATAAGACCCCAACAGTGAACCAAAAAATAAAGAAAAAGAAAAAAAACATGATTTATGTACTGTAATAACACAGTTATGTTAATTAATTAATGAATAAAAATTTAAAAATTTATAATAAAAATATAGCAAATATAATAATATTTTATTTTATTTTATATAAAAAAAAGTATATAACTTAATCTTCAAAATTTAATAAAATATACTACATACTAACCTCGACAGAATCCTTGGATGGAATGCCAGTTATAATACCTCGATGCCAATTATCATCTGTCCATAATGCAGCACAGATATGATCAATTCCTACAAAGGTATCAGGCATTTTGTATCTGTTGCTATTCTTACCATTATAGAAATGTCTGTATAAACCAAGAAAACTTTTAATATAAACTTAAATTGTTATATAAAATTATTTTGAATAATAATTATAAATTGATAATAGAGTAGAACCCTCATTAGCCAAGGCAAAGCTGTAAGTGATGTGCTGCTTTTCTTATAATTCATGAAATTTAAAATTTGTTTCTGCTATCTTTTATCATTTGATTTCAATGTGAGACAAATTGTTCATATGAAAATGTAACTACAATAGTAGCTATTTTTATTCTTAAAACTGTTGCATATATTAGATGTATTATAAATGATGTAAAAAATGTTCTACATGATTAAATTCACCAAAGTATGAAAAAGGGATTAAAAGTGCTACCATGTAAATCTTTTTTATTTGTAATCTTTATTCTGAAATACTGAAGCTGCCATTTTATCCTAGTTTTCAGTTATCCGAGTAGCACTGGTCCACATTACCTTGGCTAATTGAGATTCTATAGTATTTGAACTAAAGATTAACAATAATATAAAGGATTTCTATTTATAATATGGCTCATTCTTATTTTAAAAAATTATTTTATACAAACAACAATAACAATTAACAAAAACATGTTTCAATAATTATAATAATGCAATCTGTTCCACGTTTAAAACAATGCCAACATTGTTTTAAATGTGGCATTGATATTTTATGTCCATGTACATAAAACAGTTCTGTCAACTGTAAATGGAAAATTGTATATGGGAGATGTATTAGAAAATTATAAAAATATATTTAAACTGTTATATCATAATCTATTTGATGAATAAAATTGCAAATATACATTGCAATAATCTCAGAAATATAAAAAAAAACAAGTTCTAAAATTCTCAATGCCACTAGAACAATGATAACCAATTTTAAAAGTTTCTTTGAATAATAGAGAGAGAATTTAAAAATTGTAGAATTAAGCAAATCTGAAGATTGAAATGCCTGGTTAAACTATGGCAGCAGAATGATACACATTAAGTCCATTCTAAATGTGAGATAACTTTAAAGGTAAAATAAGATATATTAATCATTACAAGAAATTTTCTTGTAGTGAATAATTTCAAGATATTTATTTATGCTTCACTAATAATAAAATTTATTCAGATAGCATTCTATTTCATTTGGACTCAATTCTGAATAATAGTTGAAAATTTTTTGTTTACATTCATCAATGGTTAATTAATGGAATTTTATATGAAGTAGAGCTCATTGAATTACTCACCAACTAGTTATGATATTACAGTCAGCTTGCCTTAATACAAATTGCTAGGGAAACTAGTTATTTCACTTTATTGAAAATTCATATCAATGATTTCAGGGCCAAGGACAAGCTTATAATTTAGAGTTAAGGATTAACAGATAATCAAAATCTCTAAATTTTAACATTTTGAATTAATTTACTAAATAAGGTGTAATAAAATAAAATTTATTTACAAAAATAATATTAATGAAATAAACGATTTTCAAATCAAACAAATGATGAGGAACCTGTATTCACGATGTTTAAGTGAAGTCATATATCAGAGTGGTTAAACAACAAAGCTAAATGAAAATCCATGATTTTTTTTCTGTTGAAGATTGTTTGAAAAAAGTAGAAATTATTTTCTGACACCAAGAGTAAAAAAGGAGCCAAACTTCACACAAAGTAGCCAAACCTGGAATCACATATGATTCCCCAAAATGCAAACTAGAATGTGCTTGCATGGGATAACCCATTTAAAGAGGTGGGAATCTTTAAACTTCAACTCTTATTTCTGAGTACAGTAGAATGGTTTGCTGAAACCAATGTTTGAATTGCTCTATAATTGGAGGTTGAACCAGTCTTTGCTTACTAAGAGAAGAAAATCAGAATATTATACAGGATTAGCAAGAAATTAGTTTTCTGCTTCTGTTTCATTTCGTGTGCATTCTACTGCACATGAAATGAAACAAAATTTATACTACAGATAATTCAATTGATGCACTTGACATTTAAATAAAAAAATAATACAAAAATCCGCTGATGGCACTGTAACACAGAAATAGTGAATATGCATGCAAATACAAATGTTGAATATGTAGCATTAAAAGTGCTCAATATGTCCTCCATTTTGAACAATGTGCTCTGATTGAAAACTATATTTTCCACAGCTGAATGCAATGAGGCTGCCAGAATATCCAGAACATGGTGCCAAATGTGGTCCTTCAGATCTAGCACAGATGCAGGTCTTCTATGGTAGACACTGTCCTTCAGGAAACCCCATAACAAAAATTCTTCAATATTTCTGTTACAACACCATCTATCTACAGATTTTTGTACTTTCTTTTTTATTTAAGAAATGTCAAGAGCATCAGTTGAATTATCTGTAGTATAAATTTTCTCATTTCGTGCAGTAGAACACACTCCAGAGTTCTCTGAAGTGGAAACTTATTTCTTGCTAACCCTGTACTCAAAAAACATTTATTATAGTACCATTTTGTTTTTTATACTTTTTGATGTGAATAATAAAATCATTTTTGTTTCTTTGCAGACACACTAAGGTGACATATATCAACACTTGGCAACTTATTGACTATTTATTCAGTTGGGACGCCTTTTACATTACGCGTTTCGGGCATTGGCCCCTCTTCAGCCAACTAGACATAAAAAATAAAACATAAGAAAATTTGTACAAAAATACGCGAGTAGATAAACTGTTTTTTTAAAAAAATTTTTTAAAAACATACCATAAAACACAAACCACTATTGTACAGATGTCGAACAGGATGGACAATTTCATATTTCATATACAACTTGGATAACAAACAAGGTCGACGATAATCATTGGAGAACAAACAGGGTCGTAGATAGCAGCTTGACTACTGGGCTTTTAAATATGGCTTTCTTATAATTTACACAAAATTCAAATAAATAGATTGACAATTACAACATATCTTAACAATATTTGTTTTTACCTGTGGTTGATATTCGCATATTACACCGAAATTCATTCGATATTAGTTGTCGCCCTTTCTTTCCGAACAAAATTTCACAAAGTCATCTTAGCAATATTATCCAAACTGCCAATTTACATAGAACATACTTAAAGCAATTACATTAATTGTACAAACTAGTAATTATTATTTGTATTACTTACAATTCATAAAGACATACGATTTAAGTTGTAGCTTTTGGTTAAACCGCTCC